GGTGTTTCAGACGTGCCACCTTCGATCTCTAAAATAAATAGTAAAAAAAAATAATAAAAAAAAAATAAAGACAGATAAGACCGAATAATAAAAACGAAATATTGAAGTATTAATAGAATCGTCATTTATTCATTGATTAATAGATATTAACCATATTATACATTATTTAAATCAATAATATTGTTATTATATTATTGTTTTATTTTTCTTTTGGTTTTATTTCTTTGTATTATTGTCTTTTCATTCTTCTTTTCATCTTATTTCCTCTTTTTATCTTCTTCTTTGATTTTTATTTTAATTTTCTTTATTTCTTATTAAATGATAAATGAACATTTCATTACAACCATATTCTTATTTCTAATTTCGTTTAATACTAACATTATCAATTATATCATTTTCTTTTGATAATATTCATTTATAATATCTTACCTCATTCTTTATATTATTAATAAATACAATTTCTTATTCAAATACATCATAATCGAATAGTAACAAGATGAGCATTGAAGATTGACTGTGTTTTAGTATTTTTGAGGTGTTTTTGACATTCAATCTTCGAATTTAAAATTGAAATGAATAAATCAAAAGAAGTTAATAAAAAGAATAGATTAGAAAATACTTAAATAGAATTTAATAAAGCGAAAACAAACTAATGTTAAAGTAGAAAAGAAATACAATAATTATTTATTTAATAAAAAAAATTAAATAATATATAAATAAAAGAAAGGAAAAAGGAAAATATAAAATAAACGTATAAGGAATATTTTGATTAAAATAAAATATTTGAATTTTTATGTTTTTTTTATTAATAAAGAAAAATGAAAGTACTTCTCTTATATGAAAAAATCTATAAATTACTCTTCTAGAAATAATTTATGAACAAACCTTCTTCTCCTCCTATTACCATTTCTTCTTTATCTACACAACAAAGTAAACGTATTACAACATTTGAATCAATACATCAACTAGAACAATTCCAAAGTGATGCTAGTTCTTTGAGTTTTGTTGATACAATGGATGAAAGTGATGAAGAGACTCAAATTTCACATTCTTATGGAATAAAAAATAATAATAAAATTGAAGAAATTAAACAAAGAAAAATATCGTCAGAAAAAAAGAATAATTCAGATGACTCATTTCTTATAAATAAACTTAAAGAAGATCCAACAACAATACGTAAAGATGGACAAATTTGTGCAGCAAATGAAGATGCATTATTAAATGAAATTTGTTCAGCTCCAACAGAGTTTATGCAAACATTTATGTGGACTCATACAATGTTTATGAGTTCTTCAGCAATGATTTTAGGATTAGTTGATAGGTTTGAAATAAGTTGTGAAAGTGATTCAAAAAAAGCACAAGAAGTTAGGGTTAGAATAATGAATGGTCTTCGATATATTTTAATAGAATGTTGGGGAGCAATATCAAATAAAATAGAAGTTCAACAAATTTTTCAATCATTTTGTGAAAGACTTGAAGAATATGAAATGTCTAAACAAGCAGATTTACTTCGTTCAATGTTAGAAAAACGTCTTGCAGGAACAGAAACAACATATGTTCAAACAATTAGAGATTCACCATTACCTATTCCAACATTTAATTGTTTAATGCATTTAGAAAAACCATTAGATATAATTGATATTCCAGCAATAGAATTTGCAAGACAAATGACATTAATAATTCATACAGCATTTTCAAAAATTAAATTATATGAATTTTTTAAATGGACAAATGATAAAAATGCATGTAAATCAATTCAAACACTTGTTAAATATTATAATGGATTTCAATGGTACTTTCAAAAAAGAATAGTTCATTGTAAAACACAAGAAGAAAGATTAATAATCATTAAATTTTTAATTGATGTTGCAAATCATTGTAAAACATTAAATAATTTTGATAGTTTAGTATGTATTATGCAAATATTTTTAACATCCCCAATTTATAGATTAAAAAATACTATTTCAAAATTAGATAATGAAACTAAATCAAAATATGATAATTTACTTTCTATTGTATCTCCTGAACATAATTGGAGTATATTACGTAATTTAATAAATAAAATTATTCAATCATCACAAATTCCTTGTGTTCCTTATATTGGAATTTATTTAAGTGATATGACTTTTATTTCTGATGGTAATTTATCTCGTTTTGAAAATGGTTTAGTTAATTTTGATAAATGTAAAAAGATGTGTAGTGTTGTTCGTAATTTTGATAAAATAAATACTATTTCTTATTCTATTTCACATTATCCTATTTTAAAACATTTTATTGAAAATATTCATGGAGAAAATCAAGAAAATGAAAATTATGAATATTCTAAATTAATTGAACCACTTGATCCTTTTACTATTAAAATTTCTGAAAATGGTGAAATTATTGAAAAAGTTATTCCTTCTGAAAAAACTATTTTTGAAATATTTGGAAATTCAATTCCTGTTGCTATGACTAATGGATTACTTGAAAATAGATTACTTAATATTAATGATCCTGTTAAAAAATTACAAACGGTATTTGGTGATTCATTTCTTGTTAATTTTAATTCTCCTAAAAAAATTCCTTTTGTATTTCATTATGATACTCAAAATGTACTTATCTCTTTACCAATTGATATATCATTACCTTTATATCATTCTTTTCCTTTAATTAATTCTTATATGTCAAAACCTTTTCCTTTTATTCCATTATTACTTGATGAAAATTATAGAATTTCTGGTATTGTTAATCAAAGAGATAGAATTGATCAAACTATAAATAATTCTCTTGGTTATTATTTATTACCTTTAAATTACTTTTGTTCAAGACATACTAAATTATCAGATGATTTAGATAGATTTCAACGTTCTTATTTTTATTATAGATTTGATTTTAAACGTTGTTCTGAACCTTTGGTTATTATTTTGGTTGATCATTTTGTTTGTATTTATCAATCTGGAACATCATTAAGATGTTGTCCTGTTGATTATACTCATTTTACTATTGTTTCTTCTTCAAGAGCTTATTATTATGAAAAATTCCCTGGAATGAAAATGGATACTCCTTTTAGTGAGAATTCTCCTTTACCAATTGATGGTGATATTGAAAGTCTTGTTTCTTTAATGCAACGATTACAAAAACAATCAAAAGTGTATTCTACTTATTTAATTGGTATTCAACCTAATCAAACACATTTAGTTAATGGTGTTCCTCCTTTAGTTATATCTTTAATGCAACGTATTTATACCCATGATAATTTCTTTGAAAATAATATATTTAAACAAATTCCTCCAACTAAATTAACAATGAACATTGTTGACTCATTTAATAATGGTATTATTAAAGGTAACTTTAATGAAATGATTGCATTATTAAAATTGTATATAAAAACAAGTTGTATGCCATTTTTTATTATGGTAAATCAACATGACCTCATTTCATTCTCTCAACAAAACGATCAACAAAGAATGATTTTAATTACTAATTGGATTAAAAAAATTCAACCTTGTCTTACTGGTATTTTTATTGCTTTAATGAGAATGTTTGCAGCTTATACTATTATTAATTCTAATACTAATTTTGATGAATGGGCTTTTTGTATTTCAAGTACTTCAAATGCAAATATTATTTTACAATATATTCTTGATCATATTGATCTTCTTAATGACATTAAAATATCTTCTCAATATTCATTACCAAATGTATATAATGATCAAAGAACTTTTTTCTTTACTAATGAAGATTACGCATTCTTTAATGATGAAGTTCAATATGCTTTAAACACCCCTTCTTCAATTATTAATATCTTTACTAAAAAAAATTCTCAATTATCTTCTTTTCCTGGTCAAACTATTCAAGTAACTTCTAGAATTGATAAAAAATTATTTATTGGAACAAATCATCATTCTAATAAGTCAAATGAAGAACATCCCTCTTCTCAACATCCTATCCATCCTTTATCACCTTCAAAAACAACCAACTATTTAGTACCAAATAAACCTATTTCTTCTCCTCAACAAAATAAACAAACACCTGCTTTATCTTCTACATTAAAGACAACTCCTTTGCCTCATTTAATTATTTCATCTCGTACTTCTGATCCTCAAAAAGGTCATAACAAAACACCACTAATTCTTGATGAAAAAATAACAGAATTTCCTGTTACTGTGTCACCTCGAAAACGTGAACAACAACAATTAATTGGAAGAAAAGAGTCTTTGAAAGGAGTTATTCCACATAGAATTGATGGTAGTCATAATGATTCTATTCATTCAAGCAATGAACTTCATATTGATTCAAATTCTCTAAATCCAAGAGAGGAATATCAAGAAAACTCATTACATTCTTCAAATAAAACAGAAGACTTAAATGATGAACCTTTAGAAAATGTAAAAGATAACAGTCAACCAGATGACTGTAAAATATCTGCAAAAGACTCACAACTAATGAAAAAAAGAGATCCTGAAAAAGATAAAAAAAGAAGAGCTGGGTATCGTGCTTTTTCAATGGTAGATATACTTAACTCAGAACAACCTAATTGAATGTTTACTTCATAACATTACTTTCCTTTAAAATGTTAAAAAAAAGAGTTAAAAAGAAGAATTTTCACTTATGCCCGTCCAACAATGATAAGTTTCACTACTTTCTCTTTTCTATCATCTTTTGCATTAAAGAATGGCTCTTTACTTTCAGTACATTCATAATAATCATCGAAATTATCGTCCCATTGCACACTTCTGTCTTTATTAACTACAATTCCACAATATGTTTGAATAGCCTCTTTTTCTGTATTTAATGGAGTGAAAAGTCCATAGGCATGAAGTATATTTTTTGAGGGATCATCTGGGTCTTCAAACTCTTTTCTCTTCCATTCTTGTAAATGGAATTGCATATTTCTGAAGATAGAATAAATTCTATATTTTTCGTCATCCATCCACTTATCATCATTTGGTTTACTGCCAAACTTTGAAAAATAGGCACCATAAAGATTTTGTTCTGTCATAAAATAAAACATAACATTAGTTTTGTTATATAGGCTATTTTGAATAGCCGCTGCAGATAACAAACTTGATTTGTCATTTGATTCGAAGAGTATTTTTGGCTTTTCTTTGTTAAGTATTAAACCTTGTTTTTTAAAGATTTTTTGTGTTAAATTAATTACTTCATCCTTAAACATTTTATTATCATCTTTTAAATCAGCAAATTCATGACTACATTTAACATCTTCATCAGTACTTTTGCTATCACTTTTCTGTTCGGATTTTTCTTTTTTATGTTTACTGGTACATTGTTTGTCGTGATCTTTTAGGGGTTCAGAACTAGTTTCACTTGATCCTAGATCACTTTTGTTATCTTTACTTCTTCTTTTAGAAGTATTTTCACTGTTCAATTTTGAATGGGAATTAGCAACAAAAAGTGGTTTTATTGGTTGTATATTTGATATCATAATTGGTAGAAGACTCTTGAAACTAACTGGTTTCAAGTCACTTTCAGTATTAGTATTGCCATTAAAATCATGTTGAGCACCATTGTTGATTAAAGGAACAATATTTGTAGATATAGGAAGCACTTTAGGGATGTCTGAGTTAGGAGAGGTTATTGTTAATGAGAAATTAGGATAATTCATTCTTTTAATTTCAGGGATTTTAAATACATGTACTAATTCAGAATCATTATTAGTGTTAAGATAAGAATTGTTAGAACCAGAAGACATCTTTGAATGACTAAAACAGATCAAAGAATAAAGTTTATAAAGAAAAAAAAGGATTAAACATCATTTAATAAAAAGAAGAAAAAAAAAATTGGGAAAAAAAAAGAAATTAAATTATAAAAACAAAGAAGATATGATGTTTAGTTTATTTATATCAATTAATCAATATCACAACCAACAATCAATAAGTAAGAAGAATTAGTTTTTGAAAGTTGAAAGAGACAATTAAAATGAAAAACTGTTCTTTCAAATTGAAGTGTTTCAATACATTTAATAAAGTCTTGAAGTATTTTTTTTTTAACAACTAATTGACTTTCTTGACAAGTAATAAGGATATTTTGAATGTCTGCATTTCCAAAACAAAATGCATCAAATATTTCTTTAATTTTAATTGCCGGTTGATTATCAATAATAGGTATTGATTTTTGTTGTTGAATTCTTTCTAGAATAATATCAAGAATATTTTTATAACTAACTGAAAACATGTTATCTTTATCTCCGAAATGTATTGAAGAGACTTTAAGATCTTCTGTTTCACTAAGAGCATTACTTTTAAATTTTTCATAAAATAGTTTTTTTCTTTTACGAGTAAGAGAAGTTCTTTTTTCTGTTTGTGTTTTAGTTTGTCTTTTCTTTGGAGTATCTGTTGTTTTATTTCTTTTTGTTTTTGGTGTTTTTATTGGTTTTGGTGTTTTAATAGATTTTTGTCTATTATATTTTTTTTCTTTAATAGCTGGAGGTTGTCTTTTTTCTTCTTCTGATTCACAACCAAAATATTCAAGAACAGTATCATCTTCTTTATCATCAAATGGATAATACATTTCTTCTTCACTTTTTATATTTTTGTTTAATTCTTTTTCTTCTGTTTTTAAAATATCACGATAACATTCATCAGCCATTTTAATTTTGTTATCAAAAATTTCTTTTTGTTTTTCAAGTGTTGTTAATTTTAACATTGACTCTTCATATTTCTTTATTATATTTTCCCATTCATTTTTATATTTTTCACATGAACGTTTTCTTTCTGAATATATTTTTAAAAGCTGTTGATTTTCTTTTTGAATTATTTGTAACGTTAACATATTTTCTTTCATATTGAGTAGTTCATTTAAAGAAACAGTAATAGTCAATGGATGTGATGCCATGCGATTGTCAATATTTTTGATAAACTGGATCTTATTTAAGATCTTTAAAAAAATCTTAATAAAATCCAACTAAAAGTTAACTTTTTCTTTAATAATTATAATTAAAAAGTATTGTTTCTTAACCCTTTTCTTTTTTTTTTTTCTTAACCTTCGAGTTTTCAATCGAATTAATTTTATTAATTTTTAAGTTCTAAAACTTAAAAATGAATGTCACAACTCAAATATAGTATTAGTAGAAATAATTATTTCTTTTCAATAATTTCTTTTATTCTTTTGAACTACTGATTGAAATAAATGAAGTTAATTGTTTTTTTTTCTAAGGAAATTTAATAATTATCTTTTCTATAAGTTTTTAGTTTATCATTATCCAATGTATTTATTGAATAAAAACCACACAAATGCATTACCCCTTCAAGAAAGAGATGATGGATTACATTAATTTTTATTCATGAGATGTCTTCATGTACTACATAAAAATACTTAAGTTCCATTAACCTATTTTATCAACTATCTTGTTGTGTTGAGTTGCTCTATTAAATCCTTATTTTTGTTTTATTTTATATTGAACAATTTTAGATATTTATATTTCATTAGTAAGTATCAGACTTATCTATTTATCATATCCATTTACCTTTTCTTATTTATTTCATCCTCTGTACAAATGTTTGTTTTTATTCTAACATCTTTTCTATAAGAAAATTATCTATCTAGTTTAGATACTAATTTTACTGTAGAAAAAAATAAAAAATTGAAATTAATATATGGAAGTTGAAAAGATATAAAACTCAGTAGTTCAAAAGAGTCAATTTGATTTTTCAATAATAGAATTTATAATATAAATTTTATTAAACAAATAAAATTTGTATTTTATTATTGAAAATTCAGTAGAGTTAAAAACATATCTCAAGAGTTACATTAATGATTGTACAATTTTAATAGGACTTATAAATGATGATAAAATACTTTCTATTAACTTCATCTTAAAATAAAATTTATGATGTTTTTAGTTCTTTTAAATTACTTATCAGAATAAAAGAGGTTTAGTATTAATGTCAAAAAGAGTAAGAGTAACTTCACTTATCTGAACTAAATATGTAATTTAAATACTAATATTTTTTAAAATAAAAAAGTACTAATATTATATTTAATAGAATTTTTAATAAAAATTATTAATTTTTCGTTTCATTAATAATGATTATTTTTATTTCAATGATTATAAATAACAAATAGAAAAATTATAGTATTAATAATTATAAAAGAAGATAATAATAAAATTATTTAAAATAAGATAGCAATTATTTACAAAAAACCAATTATAATGTCACGTCAGATTATCTCATAGCGTTGATAAGTCTAATAATTCCAATCAATCTTTAAATCAATATTGGCACTTAAAAATGACAAGATTATAGATACAAATAAAATTATATTTTATTGAATCAGAATTAACATCAACTTTATTTATAAATAAATAAAATTAATATAAATAACAACATTATTTATTTGAATTATACAACTAAAATCAAGCTATTTGAAATCTTTTTTCTTATTAGTAATTTTGTAATTTCTTTCTCTATTTTTTAACAATTTTTTTTTTAAAAAAGAACAAGAAAAGAAATCAGAAAAAAGGAGAAAATGAACAGTATCAAGAATAGAGTAGATGGATATTCAATGCTTATCGTAATGAAATACTTAGAATATGAAAGTGACTTTATAAATGTTGTTTGTGTTAATTCTAAGTATAAAAGGAATTTAGATAGATTGAGATTTAATCCAATCAGTATTCAATCCTTGACATTATTTCCTTTCATTCAAACGCTATTTCTTTATTCATCATTTGACCCATTTATAAAAGGTATTAATCAAGTACAAATATGTTATCCAATAACATATAAAGAACAACAAATATTAATTCGTAAACATAAAACAATAAAATTTAAATTCAGTCATATAGAATATAATGGAAATGAAAATACAATAGAACAATTATTTCATTGTAAAGATATTACTCATATTGGAGATAATTCTTTTTCACAAAATTTAGCATTAAAAACAATAACATTACCTTTTCATATTATTGACATTGGGAATTATGTTTTTTTTAATTGTTTTAATCTAACACGAATTGAATTAAGTAATAGATTAACAAATATCGGAATTGGTTGTTTTAGTGGATGTATTGGATTAAAACATTTAGAAATTCCCACAAATGTCGTTTATATTGGAAGTGATGCACTTTTTGATTGTACGTCATTAGAAAGTATTTCATTTCCATTACAAATTGCTAATAGTTTATGTGATCAATTAAATGTTACAAAATCACTAACAAGTATTAAAATTATAGGAAAAGGAAGAATTGATGCATTTGTATCTCAATACATTAGTCATTTAATAGAAGATAATAACAATAACATTATTTGTGTTAATAAAATTTTTACTTTTTATGATACTCAACGTTATGGAAGACAAATAGAATATGGTATTAAAGAAATTGAAGACAATTGTTTTTTAAATGACTCGTCTCTTGACGCTATTTTTATTCCTTCTTCTGTATCAAAAATTGGTAATAATTGTTTCTCTGGTTGTACATCTTTAACTAGTGTATCATTACCTCCGAATTTAAAAATAATTGGAATTAACTCTTTTTATAATGTCCCTTGTGTATTATAATATTATAATTTACGTAATTAACTTCTTTTTTATTTGTTTTCTTCATCCTTCCTTTTTTTCAATAAAACGTCTTTTTTCCAATCAAGAAATAAACAAATTTTAATGCAATGGCTATTGTGTAAAATATTAGGGTAGTGTAAAGAAAAGCAAACAAAACATAGAAATTCAATGTTATACAAGAGAATGAATTTCAATAACAATAAATGGCATGACAATTATAATAATAAAGGTAAACGAAATAACAATGAAAAAGGGTTGTAGAAGACAATAATGATAGACCAAGGAAAATGGATTAGAAGAAGAAAAACACAAAGGAATAAAGACACGAAGAAAAGCAAATAAAAAACAATGTAAATACAATAATAATAAAAATTATACAAACAATAAATATAAATGGCTAACAATAAATGAGATACAAGAAAGAATAAAAAGAATACGAAGTAAATGGAATAAAGGAGGATATGAAGAAATACTCAAGAAGTAAGAAGA